TAGAGGGAACTCCAAACGAAACACTAAACATTCCCTCCTTTGAGTTCAAACTTAAGTGTCACTTACCCATGAATCACCCCAATCCCTCCAGAATTGCTGATCAGGAAAATTAAAGTGATTACATTTTGGGCTGCTTAAATACAAAACTATTGTAATTAAAAAAACAAGTTTGAAAGTAGCAAACAACAATGACAGAACATGAACAGCAATCTGCAAAGTAAGGTATCCATGGAGCAAAGCAAACAGTTAACTTGCAAACTAGTTAAAACAGAAATAAAATTACTCATATTTCAATTTCACTTAGCTAACGGCTGTTGGCTATAATAAAAATGGACAGTCGTGAGGCTATCCTTCAAGGAGGCTGTTTCTTTGATTTTGCTTTAAAAAAAAGTTTGTCTATTGATCAGTTTTTCATGGTTTAAAGGCACAATTTATTACTCCACATCTTTTAAACCTGAGAGAAGCTCATCTGGACAAATCTGAGTTTTTACCTATATCTATTGCATAAAATATCTTAGGTCTCTAGACTCTGCAACAGGATTTGGGTCTTTTGGACCCGTTTTTCAACCTGCAAGACAAAATCCTTCTCCCAAAATTGATATCCTAAATGAGTGGTTATTGGAAACTTCATACTCAAGACCTAGAGGCTCAATGCACTCTTGTACCCCTTGCCTAGCAAGACACTAACGGGACAGAAAGTATTTTTTTCTGTAAACTGCCGAACTTCTGGCTTGAGTATGGGATAAGTTCAGACGACACACAAAAAAGCTCAAAGTATTTCTTTTGTAAAACATCTGTTTAAATGTTACAAAGTTATAAATGTCAAGATAAAGGGATTCATCAGTCTTTAAGTTGCCACTGATTTCATTAAGGCAGGCTGAACACCAATTTTGCTTAACAGTTACAAATAATTCAGTATCCCTCTACTACTCCCAACTGAACAAACAGTAATCCCCACCCCCCCATGTCTAAAACAGTACCTTGTCAGTTTGAGATCTAACCCCAAGTCTGTTACTTGCTTTTCTAATGGTGGGTTTTTTTAACCTTGTCTGTCTCTTATATCTCTGATGCTGTTGATTCATTCAGCTACTGAGAAGTAAGAATGCCTCCATCACAAACTGTAGCCTTTGATCATTGCTTCGGGTACGGAAGGCACTGGCAGTAGGGTTGCCAGCTCCAAGTTGGGGAAATCCTGGAAACCTGGGGAGGGCAGAACTTGGAGAGGGGCTGGATCTCTGTGGCATATAATGCCATACCATCCACTCTCCAAAGCAGCCAATTTCTTCAGGGAGAACTGATCTCTGTAGTATGAAGGTCAGTTGTAATCCCAGGAGACCTCCAGGGCCAGACATGGAAGCTGGCAACGCAAGTGGGCAGAATCCACAAGCCATGTATCATGAGTGCTGTTTAGGTGAGGTGAAAGGTCTTTGCTCTTGGCTCACTGTCCTAATCTCCCATGGTTCACCTACGCTCAGAGCTCACCAAGGAATGATAAGCCCCAGCATGTGCTAAAATTTTAAACAAGGGTGAAGGAAAAGAGCACCCAAGGCTACCATCTGCACCAGGGAAGCAGAGCAAATCAAAGCTGCGTTATAAGCCAGCAAGCCAAGATCTACTCTGCAGACTTGTTTTGGGGAAGGCTCAACAAAAATCAGTTTGAGAGGGACATCGTTAAATAAATCACCTCAAAAATAGCAGTCCATAATCCACTCTGGGCCCGCTAGGAACAACTGTATGCTTGCCTGCAGAACTACAGGCACTTTCACACATGCTGATTAATGCATTTTCAATCCCCTTTCAATGCACTTTAGAGATTGCTTGCAAGTGGATTTTGCCATTTCACACAGCAAAATCCAATTGCAGAGCACACTGAAAGTGCATTATTCAGTGTGCGTGAAATGATGCTATGTAAAGCCACACTGCCAGACCAGATCTACATGAGTCTGTGAAAGAAAAAAGCTCTGAAATTCACATGCAGTAGCTCAAGAGCCACTCTATGTCTGCAAGGGAGAACGTGTGTGCTTGTTCACAGACAACATAAAGCCTACTAGTAAAATTCCAGACATGGCTCTGAAAAATCACTAGAAAGGCTAATGACATTCATGAACATACGAGTTCACACTTCTTGAAAAGTTCATATTATGATTTCAGCACACATCTCCAAACTTGCTTTGTTTGCAATATTATGGACGAAGTCAATCATTTTAGCGTGCATCCCTTTCAATGCAACAATGTCATGGGGAGGGAGGAAACACATAAACCAAGATACCCAGATTTTTTTTTTAAACCCATATTTGCAAGCCCTTGTTCACACTATTTTCTCTAAACTTCACTGGAGCTGTCAGACAACAGATACGGGCAGCTACCTGGCTTCCTTCATTATGCCTCATGTGCATTCCCCTTCCAAACAGCTTAACAAAGACTCTGCTAAGTGATTATCCAATTAAAGGGGGCATTAGGACTCAACATGCACAGTCCATGACATGGTCACCTAGGTAATGCAATATTCCCCATAATTTCCAAGCAGTGGCACAAGCACCAAATAGTTGCAATCCAATGTAGAATTCTTAGCATCAAAGCAAGGGGGTGTTTGTTTTGTTTTGTGTTAGAGAATGCTGGTTTTAATCAGCGATTCAATTAGGATTTAACAGGGAGGAAATTTTCCCTCACTACAGCGTACACGGTTAAATTAATCTGCTGCTTTCCGTTTAAAAAAATGTCACAAGGAACCAGCAGCCCAAGATCCACTCTGGGCCTGCTCAAAAAGATCTCTGCATTAGGGTTGCCAAGTCAATTTTTCTTACCGGCGGGGGAGCCTCGCCGGGCTCCGGGAGCCGTCTGTCAATGTGTGTGCACACGCGCAAAGAGCGCGTGCACCGCTAGCACATCACCGGAAGTGACACGTGACGTCGATCACGTTGAAGGTGTGGCCCCGATCGTCAGAGGGAAAACCATAGAGTTTTCCCTCCGACAATCGGGGCCACGCCCCCAACGTGATTGACGTGGTTGCGTCACCTCTGGTTGCAGCAGCGGGAATCGGGCCTCCGAAGCAGGGGTTTACCTGCCCCCCGTCCCCACTTGGCAGCCGTACTCTGTATACTTGTTTGAGGCAAACGATTCAATATCTCAAAATTCAGAGTGATTATGGACTCTCAGTATGTAGCAATAGAGCAGTACACTGATAGGCCTCTGACCTAAGGCATGCCCTCAGAACAGACATTGTGATGGGGGGGGGGGGCGCAGAAGGAACGGTCGGTTTTAATTGCATATAGACATGGCACCACACAGCTGTCTGAGTGAAGAATGACATGCAGTCAAGAAACCACTGATGTGGAGGCAACAGCTAATGTGGGGTAGTAGTCAGAGTGTCCGACTAGGACCTGAGAGAACCAGGTTGGAACGCTCAATCTGCTAAGGAAACTTGTTGGGTGACCTCGAACCAGTCCTATACTCTCAGCCTAACCTACTTCACAGGGTTGTGAGGAGAAGATGGAGGAAAGAAGAACCATCTGAGCCACTTTAGGGGAGAAAGACAGGGTATAAATGAAACAAGTGCCTTTCAGTCCAATATCTACCTACTTTTAAAATAGTATAACAGGCAGCCAAGCATGCTTACCCCCACTCTGTTTGTTCAGCCCCTTCTATCAAGGCTTATTCAAATGCTGAAATTAGATTTGATAGGAGGAGGACAAGAGGGCAGTGTTCCCTCTAAGCTGAGTTAGTGTAAGCTAGCTCACAATTTTTTAGCCTCCAGCTCACACTTTTTTTGTCTTAGCTCAGAGAATATGGCTCCAGAGCAAACTAATTTATGCAGTAGCCAAGTCGCTCACTCACAGTTTTAATGCCAGTAACTCACAAAGTAGAATTTTTGCTCACAAGACTCCACAGCTTAGAGGGAGCACTGCAAGATGGCCAGCCAATCAGTAGCTTCAAGAGCAAGGGCCAAGCAGTGCTGTACAGCCTCAATCCCTGCTTGAATATAAAATGGACTCTCCTGCAAGTCCAAACCATGACCATCTTACAGTGCCATCCTAAGTGGAACTCCACCATTCTAAGGCCACTGACATCAACGGGCTTAGAAGGGGGTAACTCTGTTTAGGATGGCACTGTCAACAGCTGTGAGTATACTTCCACAGCAGGCTCACAAGCCACAGCTATGTCAGAACTTGTGCAAACACTGCAACAGCTATTAGTACTGCTGCACTGCAAGGGGACACACTGCATGTCCCAACAGTGCAACACAACAGTACAATGCAAGGCAAGAAATGTGCATACAACTGGCAGTTCTGCGGTCAAAGGAAATCTTGCTATTAAAACAAATAAAACTGGTTGAACACAACACTTCCTTCTCTTCAGAATCCTAATCCAAAAACTCTGCTGTCTGTTCTGAATTCAACCACACTTGTAAGATCATTAATCTTCAAGACAGAGTATGTCTGTGAAATTTTGTTTGCACCTGATTGTTTGCAGACCTACAGGATTTCTGCTTGACTCCATACTCATCAGCACTACACAGGCATCCACTGCCTTTACTCACAGCCCCAAATCCCTAGCCCTCGATTTAGGGTTGCCAAGTCCATCTTCCACCCCCAGCGGGGGACTTTGGGGGCGTTCCTGGAGGGGGCGGGGATCCCCGACGCTATGACATCATGTTGGGGATGTCTGTCGCCCCCCCACCCGCCCACATGCCGGATCTCCAGAAACGGCAGTTCCCTGCACTTAAAGGAGCTGGCGTTTCCCCTTTAAGAGCAGGAGCCAGCATTTCCCCTTTAAGAGCAGCTGTGTTTCCCTTTTAAGTGCAGGAAGCTGGCATTTCCCTGCGAGCCTGATCTCAAGCAGAGATCGGGCCTGGGAGGAAACAGGCTTGGGAGGAAACATGGGTTCCACGCACTTAAAGGGAGAGAGAGGGGTGGCTGTGGGTGTTGGGGGTGGGGCTTCCCCCGCCGGCCATCTGGCTGGTGGAGGGTAGAACCCCACCCAAAATGGGGGACCCCCGGGCAAACCGGGGGGGGGGGGTGACAACCCTACCTCGATTACCACTGTTTTGAACAGACAGGAAAAGACTGCATCACTATCCTTAGCTCAAGATCAGAAAGGGGAACTGAGAAATTGAGATCTGCTGGAGGCATCAGACATTTTCCTTGTAGGCAAATTTTTCCGGTTTCTCTTAAGCAGCACGGATAGGTTTGCGACATATCCAGCGCCGATAGCTGTCGCAGTCTGTGGAGCTCACCACGCCATCATTCAGGGAGGCACAGAGGCCTTCCCCTTTGATTTCAAACCTGCAACAACAACAAAAGAAGTCACACACTCAAGTTAATAAGTGTCCTTTTCAAAGCCATATTCCTCCAACTGCATTCTCACACTTCTCAATATACCTCTGAAGATACCCTCTCTTTCCGATTGCCCCAACTTCTAAGAGCCACGGTGGTCTGGTGATCAGAGAGTCAGACTAGGACCTGGGACAGCCACATTACACAGAACACAAAACTGTTCCGGCTTTTCCCGTTCACACTGCAGCGACTGATGCGGGAGCGTTCACACTGTTGGCCCAGAGGCATGGCTATAAGGCACGGCTTTCTTTTTTGGTAATCTGGAGATATGCGCTTATGCGCATAGGCGCACAAGAAAAAAACATGGCTTTTGGCGTTCACACTTTGTTGGTGCGGGATGGACACGGGATGATCGCGCTTTCCAGGGTTCGCTACCACTTTCACCAGGTATCTTTTAAACTCGGGAGTGAAGCGTTACAACATGGGTTGAGTACAGGTGGGGAATGCCAGACAGACGTGCCTGTGTGAACGGCCCATTTGATCCGCTTGTGAAACGTTCGTCACACACAGCTGTATTGGGGCAAACTGCCTGTCTGAACTCGGCCTATAAGTGTGAATGGTTATCTTCCAATTCTATGTATCTGAGGAAGAACATGAAAACTCATACCTTGAATAAAACTTGGTTGGTCTTAAAGGTGCTGCTGAACTCTAACGTCTCACAGCAGTGTGGGGACTGGTACACCCTGATCTCCCAGGTTGTAGTCTGACACATACTCATAACAGTGGATCTCAAACATCTCAAAACTTTAAAAAAGGTTGGGTGTCTTAAAAACCCATTTCCCTTAAGCATTTCTCAGCCCCTACAGTCAGAAAAACAAATTCCACTTACCAGACATTAAAATCTGAACCATCGGGCTGTTTCCAGGGCTCTCCTATGACAGCCTCTCTTCGGAGCCCAAGCCAATATTCAGCAGGTGCTTTATTCTCATTTATGAAAGTCTTAAAAAAAAAAAAAGGATTTGCGTCTTAGGTCGTATAAGACACTTCAAAAATTATTTATATTACTACAACAACACATTTTCAATATTCTGTTTTAGAATTCTGTTTCCTATGCTAAGCCTTCATGGATAGGCTGAACTGTAAATCAAGTTATATCTACTCATTATCCAGATTATGCCTTCAATTCTCTGTGCCCGGGGACAGAGAAATGTACTTCTCCTTCTAGGAAACTACACAACCAGATTATGCAACTCATTGTCTTATTTTTTGCTTCTAGTCCATCTCTCTTTCTGAGACTCAAGGTGGATTACAAAATTTAGAACAATGCAATATGAATATAAGGTTTCCTGCTCGAAAGCCAGTCAAATCCGACTCTGGGGGGGTGCTCATCTCCATTGCCAAGCTGAAGAGCCAGCACTGTCCGAAAACTTTTCTGTGGTCATGTGGCCGGCATGACTAAACGCCGAGGTGCACAGAATGCTGTTACCTTCCCACTGAAGCAGTACCTATTTATCTACTGTCAATTTCTTGCTTTCGAACTGCTAGGTTGGCAGGAGCTGGGACCAGAGACAGGAGCTCACTCCATCACGCGGCACTCAGGTCTCAAACTGCCAAACTACAGACCTTCCAGTCTGCAGCTCGGCATCTTAACTTCTGAGCTACCATGACCAATCTGAATATAAAGCATATTATAAACCATGTAATAAGATTGGATTGCAAAATCAGAAAACATTGCATTAAGCAAGGTAATGCATACAATGGACAGCATCAAACTACAGCCCTTGTCCCTTGGCAAAAGTGCCCTCCATTTCACATTAGCCCTATTCCCTTTTACTAAGGTTGCCAACATCCAGGGGGTGGGTGGAGATCTCCTGCCATTTCAACAGATCTCTAGGAGACAGAAATCAGTTCACCTGGAGAAAATGGCCACTTTGGAAGGTGAACTCCATGGCATTAGACCTTACTTTTTACACACTCTGTGGAAGGACAGTGGTGTGGGAGCCTTCCTGACCTCCACTGGCAGGCCACTTCACAAGGTGGGGGCCACAGCAGAGAAGGCTCAGCTACAGGCAGCTGCTGATCTTACCCAGGTCCAGGGAGGGACCTTTCAGCAGACTTTGCTCGGCTCACTGCAGCTGTTGCAGTGCACCACATCGAGAGAGATGGTCCTCTAAATGTGTGGGCTCCGGGCCGTAAAGGGCTTTAGAGGCGATTGCCACAAGATGTTGTGAAGCATCAGTGTTCGAACTGGCTCTTTAACCATTAAAGCAATATAATAAGCAGCTACTGGCTATATCACTTCCTTGGGTAGGCCTCCCACTTTATTACTGAGGGAAGAGGAGGAGGATCTTGGTTGAGCCAGAAGATGAAGAAACAAACTGGAGAAGAGGGAAATTGAATCTTCAATAATTATACAAATACGCTCCCATTTGTTTCTTCATCTTCGTTTTGTGTTGGCACGGCCCCTTTTTTTCTTCACTGAGCCAGAATATGGAAAAGGAGAAGGTAAAGGCAACCTAATCTGCTGGGGTCTTTACAGGCAAGAACTGGGGCTTCTGAGTTGTGCCTAAAATGCTAACAACCTTGTATACCAACTGATGTGTCCAAATGGGCCTTTAGGGTAGCTCCATAGTCTAACCTTAAGGATACAAAGGCATGATTGTTGGTCACTAGGCTTGAATCCAAAATAAAGTGCCACATCCTTGACAGTAGAGTTAAGAAGTGCTCCTGGCAACTGATCCATTCTGCATCTGGCATTCGCTCCACATTTTCTCAGCACTCAACTTGGGTTCCCCCCTTGCTTTGGAATATCCGTTTTCATTGCATTGCCTCGGATCCTGGTTTCTCTGCATTGGCTAGCCATTAAGTCCTGTGTCAGCTTGCCATCTATTTTGTTTTCAATGCTCGCTCCTACATTGGTATGCAAATTTTCCTGTGTCAGTACTTGCCTCAGCTGTCATTAGCAACATAGAAAATACTTGGAACGGTGGACCGCACTCAACTGAGCCAAATTATTTATTTGTTTATTTATTTAAATTTATAATCCGCCCTCCCCGTGAACGGGCTCAGGGCGGCGTACAGATGGGGCCAATGCCCAATACATAAAACATTAAAATTTATGGTGAAGTGATAAATACAGATAGGGAAACAGGGGCGGGGAAACTGACAGAGATCGATGAAGCCACATCAAGTTGTCTGCTTATTGTTCCCTTTGAACTGGAAGCGGAGGAAGGAAAAGGTGCAGCTCAAAACCACATTCAGATACCCCGGGGCAATGTCGTACTGACTGTGAAGTGTTGGGATTCTTATTGAATACGTCAGCAGAGTATTAAGAGACTGAGTCCATGGTGTGTTTAAAATATAAAAGTTTACTATAAACCTAACATGGGAAAAAGGTACACAGGATATAAAAATAACAAAGAGCTAATATGGCTACATCCTTGCAGCTAAAAGGTAAAACGGGAAGAGCCGAATGGCGTCTCCTTCTCAGTCAGAACAAAGAACGGGAAGAGAGGCCATAAAATGGTAATACACCTTGACACTTTAGTCCCAATCAAATCCCTAGACCAGGGAGAAAATTCCCGGGCTTCCTATTGTCTAAACAGATTGGTTACAAACAAACATGTGACTTAACAAACATCATTAACCCTGTAAATACTGTAGTGTTTTGACTTGTAACACCCAACATTGAATTGGAAGTGGAGGAAGGAAAAGGTGCAGCTCAAAACCACATTCAGATACCCCGGGGCAATGCCATACTGACTGCCAAGTCACCCCTGAGCGGCCATGAATCTATGCAGAAGGTACCATAAAACCTGATGAACAAAGAAAGTGAAAGTGATATGTCATATAGAGGGAGATTAACATCCCGACGTGGTACTGCAGGGAAGCAGATGGCTGCAGAATCAGCCACTGAAGCAAAAAGGCACAGTGAGGGCACAAGGGCTTAGTATCAAGCCTGTGGTCCTGAGAGACCAGGGGAGGCTGAACTTTGCTAGCAGTTGGGGACTTTTGACTCCTCTATGTTACAAGGCCCGTCGACCACCATTACTTCAGCCTTGCCTGGACTCAAGTGGATTGCCCACATTCAGGACCTCTCTTGACACAGAGCAGGACAAAACCAGAGTCAACATGCAATCTCAACCTAGTGGCCACTGACAGCCACACAATCCATGACAGATTCATTCTATCAAGTCAGAACGCCTTACCCTTTCCTCAGGAGTGGCCATCACGAACAGGGAGGCGCCATACGAAGAGCAGTTCATGTGGGATGAATCCCAGGTGCTTTCAGCATCAGAGAAACGGTAGCACCATTCTGCATTTGGAGTCCAGCCTTGGGAGCACGAAGTGGTCGGGGATGGTTTGAGGGTTGACATAGCTTTCAGGTGCTTTATTTCTGCTTCCAGCTGCTTCTTTTGTTCTGTCACAGAAAGAAAACGATGCATGACATATGCACCACCACAATGCCATCTGCTCCTACAGCTCAGGATGCTGATTTTCTACTCCTGTGGTAGACCTCTACCCCCACCCCCCCATTCATGATGTTCCTCTGGGGGTCCCCCATCCCCCAGGAGCAACATTTGAGGCTGCAGAGAGAAGTCCCATTCCACTGCAGGAAATCCTGTCCATCAGCAGAAGTTACCACTGGATCCAAGTCTATGTAACTATGTCTAGGTCCTACATCTAGGAGGTGGACAGAAAAACCACAGTAAACTGAAAATAAGAGAACTGAGAACTCACCATGGGAGAAAATAATGTAAATCACTGACGATACGAACCAGAGCACTAGTACTGCTATAATAATGTCCTTCTTGCGGAGTTTCAATCGACATCTGCCAACTAAAAGAGAGACAAACACAATAGCATCATTATGATAGCCAGATTGATAGTGCCTTTAATCAATACTTATTGCGGCATGAGCTTTTCATCTTCACATTCATGGAGTTTTGCACGCCTGCATTGCCACTTGATAGAAAGCCTGTAAGCGCTTCATTCAGAGATCACCTTTAAGGCTCTTTGGAAGCTGCCAGTGATGCAGTATCTTAAGGAATAGCCCAAGCATTCTCTGTTGTGTCTGCCAATGGTGGAATGAACTGCCCAATGAGATCAGGAGGGCTCTTGAACTTTTATCCTTCCACAGAATGTGTGTAAGACAGAACTGCTCACGATGGCATTTTTATAAAGGCTGTAGCAACCAGAATAGCTCAGACTAGCCTGAGTTTGTTGGGGCCTGGAAGCCAAACAGGATTTTTCATCTGTGGCTTGCATCTGAATGGGTAACCACCAAGGAAGACCAGAATGACCAGCAAAGAGTCAGCTTTCCCACAGAAAAGGTATCCGACCACCAAAGCAGCCACTCAGGAAAGTATCACCATGGCCACAATGGGAAGGGGGTCGTTAACTCCTCTTTCTCCACAACTAGCTTCCTCTTTTCCGGGAGACTTGGCAATCTTGCTCTCCTCATGCTGAGGAGAGAGCAAGAAAGCAGAGAGAGGAACTCTTCCCTTGATCCCAGATACAAAAGGAC